AGGAGCTACTGGGTGTTATTTTTGTTGGGCCAGAGCAAAGGAAAAGGTCATTCATAATACTCCACAGAAACATATTTCCAACCTTAGGTAAGAAGGCATTTTGTTGAGGAATTTCCTTGCTGCGGGCTCCACAAGGAGGGAAGGAGCAATTCTCTGACAGCTCCTATTAGACTTCCAAACACCAGACTCCTTCAGACCACAGCAGGTCTATGAGGGATGCACAGGGCCATTATGGACCACATGCCAGAATTACACCATGGGCTCCCCCTGCCAGAGTAGACAATTACTGAATTCGGCTTCCTCCCAGGAAGCAAATTCCTGTCTATACACACCCAGAACTGATTTCTTGCAGATGAGCCCGCTGCCCACTAAAATGCAAAGCGGACTACATCCGCAGGGCAGAGCTATGGCAAGAGCCACCAGATGCGCTGAGTCAAGAGGCACTAAAAAACTCCTGCTTTTTTAGAAAGTGGCAGCACGGAAAAAAGCAGCTCTAACATGAAAAAACAAGTTCAAATTTTTGATAGTTTCAGATTAACTAGAATCAGAAAATGACAATTTAACATAGTTTTATTAATCGAGGCATGGATGCTTTCAAGATGCACAAAGAGCCCAACAAGGGCTACAACATAAACAAAAGGAAGAACTGAAAAGAAATGGTGGTTTCCAAGGTCATGACTGATGTCTGGAGGGTATCATCTGGACATTGCTCCTCAGACTTGCCAGTGTGAGGCAACACTGGCTGTAGCTAAGAAATCCGATATTCGTATTCTGTACACCCCCCTCTTTCTGAATGCAAACACATGTTCTGTCTTTTCAATAAAGATGTGCAACACATGCACTGAATAGGTACAGAAGCCTTAAAAGTCATCTGTTAATTGCAGATACGTATAAATGACTACGTAGCAAGCCTTCCTAGGGAGACAACTAGGAAAAAAAGGGAGACAGCCATACTAAAACTAGAAGGCATGAAAAGGCTCAACAGCATAATCAAGCAAGGTTGATTCATGTATTTTTTCCTAATTCAATACAACTATTATAATATTATTTTACACAATTCCAGAGTGCGAAAGAGTGCTGAGGGTTTTTTTTTTTTTATTTTTTTTAAGTCCATTACAGAGAGCACTTGCCTCAGTAACTATGCTGAGGGAAGAAAATCCATCATGTATTAACCATACTCCAACCTCCAACAGAAATATTCCCCATTTTGTGAAGTAAAGCGAGATGTGGGAGTCCTTGACCTTCTAAGTAATTAAGGGAAACAGAGACATTCTTGTTTTTATTAGAGAGACACTAAACTATTTGAAAATAATTTGAATAGCTGGAGAATTAGTGTATTTGCCTGTTCATGAGTAGTGCAGATAGTTTAGAGTTCTCTTGGGGGCAACACATCGTAATGAATATCTGCTATTCATATTTAATGCAATCTGCCAAAGAGTGCTTTTGGGAGGACTTTCTGTGTCAATATAATGATTAACAACAGAACTGGAAAAGTAAATGAATTCCTGCAACGGGTGGGGCTGGCAAAAATATCTTGCAGTACTACACCAGTAACACTGGATTTAACTGTACACTTTTTAATTATACCAGTGGAAAATCTATTTTCCAGGGGGGGTGGGGAGGGCAAAGCAAGCTTTAAGTTGGGAGTTAAAGCAGTAAATAACCAGCAGTAATGGAATAAAAAACAATTCCAGCAGAAAACAATGCCTAAAACAACAATCTGCCTGGCCCGAGGATGTCTGAAAAGCCTGAGATGCAGTAATACTGGCTACTAAATATAATAATTAGTATTTACATAGCACTATCCAGAAGCAAAGCTCTAGTTAGTTCCTTGTCTACCTCTTCCAGTTCCTCAGATGATCTTACTTTCCATACATTTTCTCATACCTAGAAGATTTACATAAAACAGAATATAAAGTCCTTTATTCTTTACAATGCACTTTTAAAACACCCCAGAGAGAAAAGTATGGAAAAGCTTGGCTAAAATACAACAAATGACCTTAGTAAGGATTTTTCTCCTTGACATCCCAACAGCCCTCTAAAGAACACATTCAGATTTTTTTTTTTTTTTTTTTAAAAACTATCTGGATGAAGCAATCTTAATAAGTTTATATAAATTCCAGGACATTCTTGTATCAGCCTCACCGCTCTCCCCTGCCCCCTTACCAAGCTACTCCTACTCCTTCACCCTTACAACAAATGAAGGCAGAATATTGAGGATCCAAAGGCTCACGTCAGCAGCCTAAGGACCAAAACGTGGCAGAAGGGTAGAGGTAGAACATGGGATTTCTCCCATCGAATGCTACGTGCTACGTGCATCACCCCATTCAAGCAGGGTGCCTGAAGCAGGATGCTCAATCCAAGCAGAAAGGATGCAATTGCCAACTCAAGTGTTTTATTATTTAGTGGCTCCCGCACTGGCTACTGTCCAGACCCTATTTTAATTTGATCTAGGATACACTTACAGATTACTTTCATCACAGCATTAGCTCAGATTAAGTTTTTTCCTCTGCATGCCACAGTCTCCAGCTCACACCAACTGGCCTTGTTATGTGGTGGTCTTCACCCATGTTAAACTAATAAAATCTGACTATTCTAGTGAAGTAACATTACAGAAACCAGTCTTACAAAGACGCTCTACCGATGAGCAGCACAGCTCCATCTTCCCCGTGCTGAAATTTGCTTGTGAAATGGCAACACCCTGGTGCACCTTGCGGTTCCATCAGCCATAACATAAAGACAGTGCTTTCCTCATCGGTTTTCAACTCGGTGGGTATACTACAGTGACCTGCGTGGCTTTTACATACCTACCTTCTCAAATGTCAGGTGGTGCTTCACTGGGTTAGGGTTTTTGGTAGTTTCTTTTGCGGGTTTTTTTTTGTTTTGGTTTGGTATTTTTAAGACTAGTTTTTATAATTAGTCTTTTTCCAGAAATTAAAAGTTGCAGTTACATCCACAACAGATGCCTTATAAAGAAGGTAAGCTCTTCTTAATCTGGTATTCTCACGTTGTGACACTCTGCCTTACCGGTCTGTGGCAGCAGCATTACCAGCATTAGGTCTGATGACGGCAGGATGCGGCCCTTCTTCCAGCAATAATGAAGAGCAATGCCACCCAGATACCAGAAATGCCGGTGTGTGCCTGCATGACTGTCACTCACCTCAATCTGAGATGCTTTTACTTTAATAAGATGTCGCGTAACAATCTTTGCCCACATTCATTTATTCCTCCCCCAAATATTTCACTAGCCTTTTACGATTTTCCTGTTGTAAACGTGTCAGGCTCAGCAGGACTTTTGTTAAGCATCCATTTCCCACAGCTGCTCCCAGTCCAGCAGAGAGATGAACCCTCTCTGGTCTGGGACAGGCTGACGCACGACCCAAAAAGCACTGGGAATGCCTCCAGTTTGGCTTTCCCTTACCATTTCCAAATGAGCTAAGCATTAATCTCCTGAAAAAAATCTCTGGGTTTTTTTTTGGTTTTTTTGGTTTGTTTTTTTTTTTTAAATTTAGAAGCAATTCCTCATTATTAATGCAGCCAGGGAAGCCTGCATGCCACCTGATCTCACGAGCAAAGACATCTGCTCTGTGCTGTATGGGGTAATACAGTGCTAGGTAAATCAATTGGACTTATAAAAGTAACGATCTTCTTGACCGTGGTCTCAGTCAGTGCTAATGCATAGTTCATGTATGCATAAAACTGGTATTTTTTCATCTTCTGACCTCTTTAGCACTGTGACCAACCCTCTAATTATTAAGTATTTTGCACTATGTATCTCAGTATAAAAACAGAAGCCAAGTCACAGGTCATGGAGGCAACACCATTATTAACATCAATGAAACTAAATCACTTTGTCCTGCACTCTTACTGTAAGCCCCTTGTGCTCACCAAACCAGTATGTCCAAAACATTGTTGTGTGTTTAATGGGGCTGGAGATACCTACTCCAACTGTAGATTAAAATAACTTAATGCAACTTGATATAAGGTTATCTGCCATCATGGCAAGTCTAAAACCAAGACAGAACAAAATAAAATAGGACAATATATGAAGGCTTAAATGACTGTAACTTTGAACAAAAGCTGTTGAACTGCATTGTTTTAATAAGATTAGAGAGATCTTTATAGCATTCCTACTACATAAAATCACTTCTATTGGATTTTGCATGAATGGCAAGAATCTAGAAGATAAATAGTACAATAGCTTCAAGCATAGAGAGAGCAGAGGTTTGGCCAAACTTTAATTTCTTCAGGTCTTTGCAAGTGAGATCTATGCTCTTCCACCACCCAGAATAAGTTCTAATTTTAATAGAGGCCACCAATCATACTAAGCTCGGCCCATGGGTGGCTTTATTGTAATAATATGTAAATAAATAAATAAAAAACATCCACATTGAAAAACAAAAACCTGAGATATAACCCAAATTTCAACCTGCTTCCTTCCAAGAAGTTGTCTCCATAACTCTAGTGATATTAACCTCAAGCTCCAGAATCAGAAGTCTACAGGCTTCAAAACCAGACTGACTGTCATCACCAAAGCTAAGAAAACAGTAGTACAAACCAGAAGAGTCTTCCTGTGTGGGACTGTGTCTGAAAAGAAATTTTCATTCAAGTCACCCTCAGTATTAATTACTGCACAACTTAAAGAGAATTCCGTATTGAGGAATCACTGCTGTTCATGAATACACAACGGCCAATTTTTCTTTAAACAGGACATTGGATTCTGCAGCTAACAGGAGAATGCAGGATATGCCAAAATCCATAGCAGGTTTTATCACCCCAGGTATCCACAGCTTTGGTATCTCATGTAGTTGCATGTTCATTTTTCTAACAACAAGATTAAGTGAAAATGGTATTTCAAAACAAATGCATGCTCTTTGCTCAAGTAAAATACACTACAGAAGAACAACTGCAATTACTCTTAAAATAATTTCGGAACAAACACGATCAGTCTTTGTTAGAGGAAAACAGGTCAATAAAAGCTATTAATACCAAGCACTTACTTGCAGGTGACGGGGTGCTGCATCCGCTAGTTGGTGGGTGACTCTGGAGTCCATGGAGGGAAGGTAGCGACAGTCCACCGATGACTGGAGGAAAAAGTAATGGATATGGTGCTGCTGGATAGTGAGTCATATGTCCATTCACTGCTGGTACTGGACATGTGCGGCTGCTGGTTGTCATGTTAACACCTCACAGTGCACAAATATTATCTTGCATCACTCCAGGCCAGCAAATAGATACCTCAACTCGTGAATGAAGAGGGCTGTCAAGCCTGCAGGTACGGCTTGAGCTGGATTGTGTGATGATGAAAAGGTAATTCACTAGATCAGTTCCGTCCTGTATTTCATCGCTGCTTCCTACTGTTTTCTTTTCCAGGACATTCTTGCTCTGCAGACCATGGACAGAAAGTATTCTGAAGCTGGGTCTCAGGGCACAGTTCAGTTGCTCACGCAAATGTTTTTCTGGGAGGACAGTTGCTCCCTACAGATGCATACCGATACAGTCTGTGGGAAGAAGAAAATAATATAATGATTATAATATAGATGTTTTTAATATATACACACAGAAAAATCTTTTATCCTTTTGCTACTTTTGTTAAGTGATTACTTATTTATCAGTGTCCTACCGGATCAGCTTGATGGTTATCTGGGGGTAAAATTCTCACTGTACTGAAGCTAACAGCAGAACACCCATTAACTTGATTTTCCTGCCTGTTGTGTTACACCAAAAGCAATTTCTGATCAGATGCAATCTTGTTTTGGGAACTGCCAATTTTAAAACCAATAAATTACCTAAAATATTGATACTGAAGAAGGAAGGGATGGGGGGGGCGGG